TTAACTAAATTGGATTTATTACTCAGATTTCTTCTTCTGGTCAGTTGTCTTAGATTGAACGTTTTAAAGTCACGTCAAAAAAGTAAAGAAAGAGATAAATCGGCGGCGATTTTAAGAAATTGATGAATATACCACGATTGATGAAATGTTAAATCTATTTTGAGGTGAAAGCTCATAATTTCAGTATATACATAGTAAATTTGCCAAAACATGATCGAAGATCTTTGCACTAATCGATGCAAAGACCATCTAAACTTCCAGAATAGAAATATACATTGGAACTCATCCTTATACTTGACCTATCATGCTTCAAATTTACATCTTGAGTTCATAGCTTGGAGACTCTGATTATAAATTCTAACGGGAATCAAACAACATACAATACGGGTGTATATCCAAAACATAATTTTTATAATATCTATTTTGTTTAAATTTGATGTAGCTATCGATAATTGTTTAATTTTTCGTTAATTTTCCTATTTGTGTTGAATTGTTCTAAAAAATATATATCGTTAATTTTTCATTTTGTGGCTGATTTTCTTTAATTTTGTGATTTTATGTAAAATATTCGTTTCCTATAAATTTTGGTCCACAATAAAACTCCTAAAATTAATAATTGAAATAATTATGATATTTCTAAAACTTCTTTAATTCGTAATTCAACCGAGTTCCCAGACGACTAACCAAAATTGTAGTAAAATTGAAATATTAAATTACATTTCACTTTTCATCCCCTAGTAATAATCTCTTTAGGAATTGATCCCACGGGCTTTTACACCACTTTTGAATTTATCATAATAGATTTTTTTTAAATTAATAAAAAAGTAGTCATACTAACATTATGGTCTGTTTAACATGGTTATCGTATTTTGTTCCAGAAATCGTTAATCATACTTCTCAGATTTTAAATTGCCTAAATGGATTTATCATAACAATTTGAAAGATCTGGATTTACCATTACATAACAATGTTTAAAATAATTTAATATATTTTTTTATGCAATTTGTACAAAACTAAACCAGGTGTCACACATCGCCTTCGATCCACTCGGACACTAACTTCCCATCTCAACCTACCTTTCGAATTTTCCCTCCTTTTCGCCATTTTTCAGTCGTGTTGAGTGTGCAAGAATGGCACAATTACTCAGAAAACAAACACTTTGAGCCCTGAAGATGATCTCTATAAAGATCGAAACGTTGGCACGATAAAGAAAATGTTTTTCTGAAACCTACATCACACCAGACCGCATTTCACGATTTCTGAATAAATTACGTAGCATTGTGTTTTCAATGTGTATCATATTGTTTTAATGAACGGTGCTTTGAGTTGCCAATGAAGTAATTTATCATTTTAAAGATCAGATATTGTTTTGCATTGAGTGTAAATGTGTTTAGGAAATTCTCTTTGTGGTTATTAGAATGTAAGATTAGTGTTAATTAATTAATCTTTCTGAAAGGTGTTGGTTGAGGTGAAAAAGTTAGTGTCACAAGCGGGATTCGAACCCACGACCTTCGGCTAAATACGCCGCTGCTCTACCACTTGAGCTATCGTGCCTTCGATCCACTCGGACACTAACTTCCCATCTCAACCTACCTTTCGAATTTTCCCTCCTTTTTGCCATTTTTCAAATGTCGTGTAATCAGGATTCGATACTCGGCGACAAATGGAATGACACGAAGAGCTTTAGTGAAGATATTCGTCGTTTTACTTATTAAATCCATTATATTTCGTGGTCCGAGAAACCAAATAACTTCTTTCAATCAATTAATCTTTATGTAAGGTATTGGTTGAAATGAAAAAGTTAGTGTCACGAGCGGGATTCGAACCCACGACCTTCTGCTAAATACGCCATTTTCAACCAATAATTAATCTTTATGTAAGATATTCTCATCTGCTAAGCCTTAACGTAAGGAGAGACACAAACAAGGCTTTATATGCAATTAAAATAGTTTCTTTAAGGAAGCAGTGTCTCAACATAAATTGGCGGAAAAATATCAATATATTTAGTCAACAGATTCTTTATACAAAAACGTTGTTTCGTTTACCAAGTTCAGGGAAAGGCAGTCACATGTCAATGCATTTGGATCTTCTGAGTTCATTGTCAAGCCACAAGAATGGCAAAACAATCACGGGCTGGATGAGCCTGCATTGAAAATCATGGTCACTGTTTTCTCAGGAGTGATTACTAACTTTTGATCATTAGACTAAGTGGTAATCTATGACTGAACTTTTGAGTTAGCAGACATCTGATCAATATGCACAAGAAGTACCGCGTTTTTTTTTATTGCTGCAAAAAAAAATATCTTGTCCGGACCAATTGATCTATTAATTTCGTTCACATAAATATTACACAGCACCACCCTGAGGAACTCCACTATTAAGTTTGAAAAGATCACTCATTTGATCGGCAATTTTTGATGTCTATTATCTACTAGTTAAAAAATTCTGAAAATTGTTAATGGTTTTGTTCACAAATTACTATTTATTATATTTAGTTTTTTTTCAAAGTAGCCTATTTCAAGCATTCCAACTACTTGCAATAGTCAATAGTATCAATTACCTTAATATAATCCACAAACAACCTACAATAAAGCAGTTTGATCCGTTAAGGAGTTACAGAAATCCAGAGAAAAGTTTCCGTGGCTTTTCTTTTTTAAAAATCATATTCACATAGATTTATATAATTATTGTTAGCTAGATGTGTTGTAATTTTTTGATTTATGTACTTTTCTATTATTATGTTGATTAGTCAAAGAATTGAAATGAGCCTGTAGTTTTTGTATATTTTATACAATTTTTATCACGATTTTTAACATGTCTGGGTAAATTTCTGTTTTAATTATTGAGTTGATTAGCTGAGACTTGTTTATGATAAGTATGAGGCATGATTTATTTACTCTGAACATTCCCATCAAACTTTTGAAAATAAAAAAAAACAATAATCATTGAAAATACACAACCAATAATATTTATCATAACTCTCAAATTAAATTGACATGTAAACTTGATTTAATTGTAACAAAAAATTTTCTAAATTATGCTTCAAATGTTAATAAAAGTAATATGGCAGAATATACGATAACTATATTCTTTAGTTATGGTAACAACTTTTTTGGTGACGTAATTTACAAATCTGTGACTAACATAATATTTTCTTCGTCTTTCTTGTTATAAATTAAATGAAAAACGATAGTAAAAGTTTGGACTTTTTCTTCAGTTTCAAACGACCAAATTTTTGAAATATCAATTGTTATTATATAAACATGTAAAATGACAAATTTTAAATAATGAAAAGAAAATATTTTTTAATTGTATTTAGTATTTACAAATGAATTTTAGTTCAGTTTAATTTTTAAAAATATGACAAATGTTTGATAATAAAAGGTCATATATTAATATTTCAGCTGTTCAAAAATTATAAATATTTTGAAATCTTGGTTGAAGTTTAAAGCAGTAAATCTTCCCCTCAATATGAAGAGGAAACTTTAATAACGTTATTTGATTGTGTTAAAAAAAGGTACAACACAACATGTTGTCAGACATCTGGTTGTAGACAATGGTGCATTTGCTGTTTCGAATTCTTAAGAACGTTTGTACGTGGATTAACTTAACGACCCCATCATAACATGATGCAAAAAATACAACGTTAAATTATAGATAATAATTTTTTACTGATGTAAAACCGAGCAATCCAAGCACGGACGGCTTTTATGGTGACGGGCACAGGGGCGAACCAGGAAGTTTTTAACTAGGCCAAACACTTGTTGGGTCAGATTCGAATTGGGCCAAGGGCAGGTGAAAGCAAATCTCCGACAAGCCGTTTATCCTTATGACTGTTTGCCAAGCCTACGTTCTTCTGTCAACGTTATCACTTGGTGTTTAAAAAATAAATAAAGGAGAGGACCGATCTTATTGGAATCAAAATTATGTCTATATTGTCTATCTGAAAAAAAAATCACATCAATGTCAGTATAAATAAACATATAACACTTATTAGAGGGACATACGCTTTACTGGCAGCTCCCTGCTGCGATTCATGTTTGCCGAGAATCGAATCCGATTAAACGAAGTTTGAATATTTGCCAAAAAGAGGGAAATTTGAAAAAGTTGTAGGTTGAAATGATGAGTTTGCGTCTTGGTTATACCGATGCTTAGACACCACATCACGATTTCCTGGTTAGTACCAAATTTGTAGTCGGTACTTTCTTCTTCCAAACTGGGGAAGAGACGAAACAACTTTGCTCTTGTATATATGGTCGACTTGCCCGTCCACATTAACATAAAACGTGTCTTAAATTAAACATAAACAGAGGAGCAGGTTAAATTAAATTTTAGATAAGACCGTTTATAACAGATTGGAAATTAATTTGTTTCCCTCTTCGTTATTCACGAGTAATGAAACACGAATTAAATTTATAATGAACGACATTAAAAATGGCTATTCCATTCTATTTAAAAAAATATATAACAAAAAATCTAATATATTAAATATTTAAGCTACATTTATTACAAAGTAAAGCGTTTTCGATCATACAGGAGGTCTTATCATCCATCTACACGTTGGGTATTGCCGACGAAGGGCCAAAAAACAGTTTTCATACCATTATCAACTAATAAGCCGAGATTCGAACCCAGAACCGCTAGGGTGGCAAATAGGGTCGGACGATCCAACCACTCTGCTACCGGGGTCCCACATGATTAATAATCAATACAACAATTATTAACAATTAAAAATAAACTCAGCATGAATGCGGATGACAGATCGAACTACCAGAGAAAGTTAGACTAAAATGATTGACTACCTATAATACAAAATTACTTAAAGTTGGTGGTGATGGCTTGGCTGTGAATGACTGACATCATGTCGAACTTGACTGATTAGTATACTGGATAATTCTCGCTGGATGTTCATTTTACACTCACAGCAATCAACTTTCATACCATCTAAAGTAAGCAATTGGCATTATATAAGGAAAACAATGATAGTTGGGTTTTTTCAGGTGACAGGAGCGGCCCGAGGATTGGGAAGGGAAATATGCCTTCGCCTCATCAGAGAAGGATGTTCCATGACTTGCGTCGACGTGATGCTGGAGGGAGCCAAAGAAACGGCGGCGATATGCAACGCCGTCCGCTCAGGCTGTGCCAAAGCGAAACTCTGCGACATCACAGACCGCGAAAGCATAAAACGGCTCTTAAAAGACATCCCGCCTGTCGACGTGCTCATCAACAACGCGGGTATCGTCAGCTCGGCCGATATCCTCGAGGTCACAGATGAGCACATTGAAAAAATGATGGCTGTCAACGTCATGTCTCACTTTTGGGTAAATTTCATTTTAAATACTTAAATTTTACATTTATTATTTTCTTGTAATATCTCCTTCGTTAATTCTGTTTGCCTCTGTAAAAGTAAAATAAGATAAAAGGCCATTAGATATTGTAGGTCAACAGAAACTACGTAGTTTAATTAAATTTTTATTCTTTAGTACTAATCCTAAGCTTAAAATGAAGAACTATAGAACTATTATGAAGAAATATAAATGTTATCCTTCGTCTCATCATCTACACAATACCCATTGTATGAAACAGTTGAGAATTTTATCATGGAAAAATCCATTTCCATGTCAAGGTTGTCTTCTTTCAAGTTGATGATCTAAATGGTCTGATTGCTTGATTAAAGCCGGTCTTCCTCACTAGAAGATAAGATGGAAAATATAAACAATCGTTGTAAATCGATGTATCAAGGCCGATCTACTTAAAGAAATGATTAACGAATTTTAAACAATAGGCGTAATTGATTAATTAATTTCAGCTATAATAAATTATCTTTTAAAAAATCAATTCGTCTGATTAATTTCGACAAAGAATAAAGTTTTAACAAAAAACTCTTTGTCTGAATTAAATAGAATCGGCAACATGAAAGTGCAATCACAAAATATGAAGAAAGAATAATAAAATCGATCTAGAAATCGCAAAAAGGACAATAGAGTTGCCGGGCGGCCGTTTTATTCAAATGAATGGCTTTCCTGAAAAGCCCACTTTTCATAATTTTAGGGCAACAAATTTTTCAGCACTATTAGATTTATACATTTTTTTTCTTCATATTTAGACATCGTGTACAAATGCTCTGACGGAGCCGATTGGGCCACATAGATTCTGACAAAAAAAAATCCTAACTGAATTTTCATTTGTTCAAACAGTTGTTTTTTTCCACCTCAATAATTTTTAAATATCTCTCGCCAGGGCCTCACTAAAATTCTTTTAAATAAGACCTGAAAGTTTGGTTTAACAAATTTTAAAATTGACGGAGTTTCATTTTCCTAAGCGGGGACAAATATGCCTTAAAACGTATATGAAGAAAAGCGGGTATATTTGATTATTTTTTATTAATCTCCTGTCAGAGATTTTATGACACGCTTCTAAATAAACCCGAAAAATTTGGTTTAATAGATATTCAAATTGACCTAGTTATGTATTCCTAAGCGGGCATGTAAACGCATGGCGAAGCATAAGAAGAAATCGACTTTTGGGTCCCTTTCTGTTCTGAAGCTTCTTTTATGACGTTCGGATCGTCACTATCATTGTTGGAGTTGGTCGTATTTAGGTTTATTGGGTTTAATAACTTATGGTGATTAGGAGGATTTTATGTCACTTGTGATACCTGGAGTAGATTATATACAGGATAAAAAGAATATTTAAGTCTGCATGGGTTGTTGCGTTCGTTTCGACACAATACAATGGAATATCAAGGACTTTTCATGGATTAAGTTAGAACGTGTATCAAGAAGTGAACTTGACGTTTTAATCTTGTGTGAGGATTCCAAGTTTATCGACGTAAAGTACATAGTACGTTGTCCTGAGTTGGTAGGGGGATGTTATTGAAAAAAATGGAGGAAGAATTTTTGTTTCGGAGAGTGAAGGTTGTGTGGGTTTTTCTCGGTTAAATTGTATTCTTTTCTTTTCATACAAAGACTCCTTAGAGTGAGATGTTGTTGAAGGTTTCGAGTAGATCAAAGTTGTTTGAGAGCAAAATGGAGAAGGGCTTCCTGGATGGTTGCCAAAACAGATTTTTATCTTTCTTTATAACTATTTGAACCCTAAACTTATATTCATACTATTCGAATATCCAAACAATTAAAATTCATTTCAGTTTATCTTTATGTCACATAGTGACACACATCACACTTATCAGCATCGCTTTTGAACTATTACGACGTTTAGTCCAATGTAGTTATCCTCGATATAAAACCTTAATTGTGTATCGTATAACTTTCTAGTGTAAATGTACAAAAAACTAAAAACTCTAGTTTTCGATAGATTTTGATGCTAAAAACACAAAAGATTTCATGTTTTATTTGACAAATTAGTTTAGCTGGTAAGCGGGATTGATTCAACAATCCATAAATTATAATTCGTTTGTCCGCCTAGCTGGTGAAACTAACTCAGAACTCTCACAAATCACTAAACAACAAATTTTCTATTTCAGTAGATGAGTGCGCAAATATGAAATTTAAAAGCATTATAGAAGAAGAATCTTTTCGCACAAATCGATAAGTTACGTCGAATTGTGAGGATAAGGTTGAAAAAGTCCAGGCGCAAACGGCTTAAATCAAGGGGTTTCTTACTTAAGGCTTAACCTCAATAAGTTCGATTTAGTAATCCTGATGAAACACCTGACCTTTCTTAGATAAAAATTGGAACGTATTATTTTATAATATACAATTACTATACAATAAAATAGTAAAATCCAATTAGTAATGATTTGCTGTTTCAAATTATTCAATGTTCAAAATTATGAATGGATTTGTTCAGTCCACGAAAAAACAAGATACGTATAGGCTTTCTAATAGTTTCTTAATATAACAATCGAAAATAATTGAAATATAAGAAAATCAGCCTTGATGCAAACTATGATGCCAAACCACTGAATATATCAAACGTAAAAACAGAGAAAAAGGTGCAAAAAGAGAATCCCGAACACTTGAATACTCTCCTTAAAAACAAGGCTTATATTTGCAAAATAACAAAACTAAAGTCTGCGTTACAATGTTTTTTTTTAAACATTAAAATATTTTTTTTTAACATATTTTACATGATTATGGCACAATTGATGCCTAAATGTTACATATATACGAGTTAAATTGCATTTAAACTATTGTCGCAATACAGTAAAAAATACAGCAATAGAAAATCAATTACTTATCGATTTTGACCTTAAGTTGTCTATATTAACAATGTTTTAAGTTTTAAACGGATGGCATTTAATTCAGTCTGGAAAGCTAGAAATAGAAGAGAGAAAGAATAAAAGCTCTTCGCCGGAGTAAGGTCGATACGGGACTTAGCAACAGAGACAGTCAGTCTTGCACCATCAAACTTTCACCTGATCTAACTCAAACGATAATTCCAAAAAAAAATCAGTTATAAATCTATTTAATAAACTTGTTTTAAAATAACAGTTCTACCGATTAGAACGATGGGTTTGTCCGAAAAAAAAACTTAGAATTTACATTTCACCAAATCATTTATAGTTAATACAAATATTTCAAATCATGAATATCAATAACTGTATAGTTAATCTGAAGAAGAATAATAGAGGAGCTAATAAAAATATTTTTGATATCCATTGTTTTTTTTTCAATAATTACAGATGTTTTTAATTTATTTAATTGTCTTAGCTTTTTAATTGTCTGTTTAGACTAGTTGTTAGTTGTGGTAAAAAAATTTAAAACAACAGAGCCAGTTGTGTCTATAGTACAGAGGTATCTCCTAAAATAAATACCGGCCTGGAAACAGTCAGGCTTTTACTATGTAGTCGTTGAGCATACACGTTGCAATTTTTCAGGTTTGATCGGCCTAATAAACCTTTCGGCCGCGTGCTGGATGGTAGTAAATTCCAATATCTGAGAAATTGGTTTTAGCCCGGCTTTAAATTATTTCCTCCATAAACCACAAAGAATTTTTCTCTTTCATTTCCAAATTGAAGGTTTGATCCGGTGTGTCCATAAAAATTGAACGAGCCGAGTTCATCAAAGTCACCTTGATAGTAAAGCGATTTTCGAACCATAAAACCATAATTTCCGTCGACCTTTAAAACCTATAAATTTTAAGTTTAGCCTGCATTTATAAATTTAGTTTACAGACTGAAAACAAAAGAATGAAACCTGTAATTGATGTTTAATTAGTAAATAAAGCGAGAACCGTTTCTGATCAAGTCACATCATTGTTAATTATTTGATTTTCTTATTTCACCTATAATATTAGGTTTGATGTTGCTGATGATGAACAACAATGACCGTTCTCGATATCACTGTCTCTTTGAAATCAGGATATCAAAGTGATGAACTCCTGGAGGAGAAATCAAATTTCCAGTCTTTCCACTTTGGTGTGACTAATAAATATTCAGTAACAGCTTAACAGTCTTGTTAAATTTTGTATTACAACTTGATATTCGATAACTCTATATTAATTACGTCGTCAATTAACAGCAATCAAATCCATAAATTTAACATTAATTGAAACGCCTCCACGCCCTGGCTCTTTTTTAATGACAACCTAGTCACAACGAATCTTCATTTTGTAAGCAGTAATTTTTTTTTACAATTTACATTATTCATATTAATTATTGCGGCATTCCGCCAGGGACACGAGCCAAAATCAAATTAACTAAAAAGTATTTGTCGATTAACAAACATTAAAGAAAATTATTTTCTGATTTTGAAAACGATATTTTTTTATGTAAATTGTCGAAAAATCTAAACTTACTACTCAATCCTGTACATTACTAAATTGGTCGGAAAGTTTTTGTTTGCTTTTAACTTGGTCTTACTTGCAGAACAAAACACCAAATTATTCACAAAATAAACAAAGTTAGTAAACAAGTAATTCTTCGGGATTGTTTTTATGAAAATCCATAACAACCATGAAATATTTTTTAAATTTAATATCAATGTATTTTGATAAGTTATGTTGCCCCCTCGCGTGACGTTGGCGCACTCCAGTGTATGAAATTTTTTGTACTGAACTTGTTGTTCTATTTCTATTAAACAATAAAAGAAACGGCATCATACCATTATTGAATTTTTACCTTAATAGTCGTCTGTATTAAATTTATTAAATAAATCCTAGCTGTGATGATTGATTGATAAGAAAAACGAATTTCTGTTATTCACAATTTTTAATCATTGACTTAAACAGCAATTAAGGCAATTTAATTGACTTGTACATTTGAAACATAAAGCAATGTCAGCATATTCCTTTAACTATTTTTTCCTTTGAGTTATCTTGACCTTCAGTATCTCAAAAACTATTATTGTATAAATTACTTAATAAAAGTGTAGTAATTAATACTGGTTCTTCAGAATACGGTTATGATTTTAGATTGGATACAAAAATTTTTGGGTGGCCAGTTTGTGTTTCAAAGATTGATTGGGTTAAGTAAGGGATAGGGTCATGAAATTCATGAGTTTTAATATAAAAAAATTAATTATGATGAAGAACCGTCACTCTTTTGTGAAGAGAACAGCCCCCATTGTTCAAGTATCCAAGCGAGTTGCTGATATGCGAATAGTCGCCTTTCTGTTCGATGCCACTCCATGTTGTTGAGAATTTGATGTGGGACGTCTAAAGATTACGCTATCACATGAAGCCTTCTGATGACTGTTTAAGAACTCACCTTTCACAGACCGTTTAGAGTTGACGACGTATTAAAAAAGACGTTAAATGACAGTTCCGTAGTGCGGTAAGAGCAATAAATCTCTAGTCTTCGTACATCGCGGTCGACCGCTACCTTATCTTCTAAGGAGACATCCGGAAGCATTAAACCGCAGTAGACCATTGTTGATGATGGTAGACAGCGGCACACCCAGGACTTGGTCTACAAATTTATTATCTATTTAAAAAAAACCTTTAATAAACCAATTTATTCACTCGTCATGTTGGCCCTGGAAACGATGATTTTTCTTTATTTTTAATTTACAAACGGTAAAATGTAACACTTTATAACAAACAACAAGTTATTAGTGTTTTGTTTACGTTTTAAACTATTAATCTTCCTACCTAGTTATTATTGAAAATAAACGATAAATGCGTGTCCGGTTTTGTCTTTGAATGTATTTAAAAACAAGCCTAGAAATTGTTTATTCATCACAAATGCTAATGTTTGGTTAACAAACTATTTACTTTTTGTCTTCAACTAATAAAATAATCATTGATTTTACGATATTGTCCTGTTAAAATTCCACCATTTAAGTTACCTAAAGAAATATTTTTGGTTTTTAAATCAAACCATCTGCAATTTAGAGTCGGCTTTTTCGATAAATATAAAATTATAATTATTTAAATAACTTCGGAAAGAAAAACATTTTGGTAATATGAAAGCGCAAGGTCAATGCATGGTGCCTGCCATCATCAATAAAAAAAATTTACAGGACTTAAGACCTACTAAATATACCTGTCAACTTAGAGAACTTTCATCAAGTACCCACGAAGATTTTTCTTAGTGGATCGATTTCCATTAAAAAATCAAATCTCTTTAAAAAAAGGGAAATTGATTGCACTTAAAACATGCACGTACAAATAGCACTTCTCATTCTACTTTTCTTCGTTATTATTGTTCTTCTATTGCTTTTTATAGATGAAAGATTTTCCTTTAAAAACTGAAAAAAATCGATGAATTGCTAGTATGGCGCTCTGTTTCCTTAAGGTTAACACTTAACTAACCAAAGGCTAAATTCATTATTAAGGCTAATTTTTTCAGATTTTTTTTATTATTCAGTTAATAAAAGAAAAACTTGGTTTGTTCAATGTGAAAAAACATAATAAAAGATTTGAAATGATGAAAAACAAACCTATAAAATTACAAAGATTTTATTTGTTTGTGTTAAAAAATTAATTAAATACAGTTCATTTGATCGGTTTTACTCATGGATTAGTCGACTATTTCTCAGGTTGCACGCTTGACTTTTGTTAATCAACACTGAATGCAGGCATCGTTGAGCTTCTTGAGTGTTCTTTGTAAAACAGACTGTAAACTTGTTGAACTACCCCGGAACCTGTCAACTTAGCGAACTTTCAACAAGTACCCTTGAAGATTTTTCTTACTGAATCGCTTTTCCATTAAAAAATCAAATCTCTTTAAAAAGGGGAAATTGATTGCGCTTAAAAACATATTGAATTTTGTATCATGTATTGAAAAAAATCATTTCTCATTGGAACAAATGAGTCTAAAACTTTATTGTTTTCAAAAGTCATATAAGGAAATTCCCAAAATTAGTTTCATTCCAACTCAATATTTCCTCTTTATAATCTCCTCAATTATTTAATTGGTTTGATTTTTTATTATACAGGCTGTCTTTATTAATTGAATTAACTTCACCAGCACATTCTCACAGTCATGACTATTCATTGTTTGGGAAATCCAGAAAAAAAAGCATCGAAAAAACTGCTAATTTAAAATTAGCAAAAAAAGTAAATTTGCAACCTCATTGAAACAATTCACGGTAGAGCTTGACAAATTTCGAAAAAACTTATTCGTTTAATAAGTTTTTTAACGGTATGGGCTTTTTTGAATTACATCGAACCAATGTAGAAATTGTGTGTTAATTGGGAAAAAAGTGGTGACGGTGCAAAAAATATGGGAATGTGGTTAATACAATAACTTTTTGTCCTGGAAATTTTTTAAAAATTTTAATAAAAACAGAAAGAAAATTTACACAACACACATAAAACGAAGCAATAAAATAGCTAACAACAAAAGCAAAAAAATCGGACAAAATATCTACACTAAACACAAACAAAAGAAAATAAACGAAGACCAATACAGAAGTTGTACAAACCAACTTTAACCTAATAAAAAAGACCAAAAAGTAACAAATTCCAAGTAATATGGTTGTTCACGAACTTTAATGTCTTTCTTTTATAGATTTTGTACAACCAAGACTGAAATTTAAATTACAATTCCGTTGCTGTACGCCTAGCTTAAGAGACCAAGACTTGGCCAGTCCACTGCCACTTAGCAAAGGATTTCGGTTTTTATTGTATTAGACGATTTTTCACGGTTTATGATTCTAGCTCTACTTCGAAATGCAACTGCAGATCAGGTTGTTACTAAATTGCGGGATTTTTTGAAAAAACACCTGAAAAATAAACCTGAAAATACATACCTGTACATTTTCTCGATTTTTCCGATTTTATCCCTATTCACTTTCGTCGATCCTGGCTCCTTCTACCTTTCACCATTCGTAAACTCCTTGTTTCCTCCCTCATCTTTCCTTCTTCGACTACTGCTGTGTCACTTATGGTAGACTTTCGGAGGAACAAGATAAGCGTCTGAAAAGAGTTTTGTAAATTGTATAAAATTTATTTTATTACCCCCCTCCCGAATATCCCGAGTATGACACCTGTATTGAAGCCTATCCTCGCTTTATCCATCCTTCCAAAGGATTTCCTGCGCTCTTCCTTCACCAATCCATAAACTCTCGTCGACCTAGTTTTATTTTCCAGTTACTTCAATTTAAATCGCCTTTCCACTCTCGTAACATCCGCTCGTTTATATTTTCCTCGTCATAAAACCTCCACATTTGAAAGGTTCTTCTTAGCTCTAGCCACAAATCTCTGGACTCACATCCTTTGCCATGCCGCAAAGCTACCTCCCTTACCTATTTTAAATCTCTCCTGTACCAGCACCTCATCTCTCTCCAAACAGAGAAAATACTATCCAATATTATTGGATTTTTTTGCTACATATGATAGTTTTGTTCTTCCTTTTCTCAACTTTTAAGTTGACATTTTGGGATTATGTTTGCTCGGTTCAGAGAATAATTTTATTATTATTATTTTTCTCTAAATTCTTATCATTTTTATACTTTGTATTAGCTGATTTATTTAAACTTATTTCACTTGATGTAAACGATAAAGCTTTATTTATTCAAGTGCCAGATTTGTAAAAATTTCTGTGACCTTATTGTTTTGTAAGAGATTCTCGTCACAGAAAAAATATTTTTTCTCTATTTTATCTTTCGTTGTTTGATTTATTTAGAAAAATAATTACGAATTTTACATCGTGATTTTATTTTCAATAAGAAAATGTTCAATGTCCTATCGGATATGTAAATACCTTTATCCACGTTTCTCTTTGAATACAAAACATAACTTAAAGGAATATTACCCAGCCAAAATTTACTCTGGCAAAACACAACAGCAAACAAAACCATCGGGTGAATATTTGGATCACGAAAAGCTTCGTCTGTAAGCAATACAATATTTTCCGTGCTTTTAATCTCCCCCAATGCAATTTATCCTACTTGTATAAACTTATCGATATGTTCTGGTATGCAAGGACATTTTTTATTATAGATGTTTTTTTTCTTTCAGACGATACGCGCATTTCTTCCTGGGATGATCGAACGAGGCAGGGGACACATAGTAGCGATTGCTTCTGCTGCAGCATTCACCTCAGCTGCCAACATCGCACCGTACACGGCGACGAAATACGCCGTCACAGGTGAACATTAAAAATATTAACTTCACCTACAGAAACACACAAATCGATTTTAAACCTCTAAACATTTTTATAAACGGTTTGTTTTTACAAGGATTCACTCAATTTCCCCATATAAATTGTTACTTCAGAAATTATTGTACTTTCATCTCGTACAGTTGTCAAACCCCGTGCTGACCTTTATGTCAATACATCAGGGAATTCACCCACCCCATGGCTGGTCGCTAGCTTCCCCCTTAAGTCAAATTCCCAGGAGATTGTCGTTTACCGACCAACGGGATAAGGCTCTGACAGGAGCTATGGACAACCAGGTCATTTCAGTTCTAAACGCATTCAGTATATAATCTAGCCTAATACTTACTACTTAAATTGCATAGATCAAAGGTACAAATAAATACGTTCAAACATATAAATACATTCATTCTGATTAGTCGGTGGAGACTGGATATTCCTTCATCGACTTGTACAAATTATTAATAAATAATCTAATCTAAATTAGAGTCGATGAGATACTTTTTTAAATATTCCGCCATCGACCCTAAGCACACACACGGCTAGACGATGGTGGCGCTATATTTCACCATCACTCCTCACCACTCACTCTAATAAATACATGCATTCAAACAAAACACATAGAATATAACTGTTCAGAAATTATTATTTATTATTAATTCACTACTTTCGTGGCCCGCTTAATCCGTCCAATTAATACATGACAATTAATTAAGGTTTTTAGTTGAGATGAAAAAAAGTTAATGGCGCGATAGGGATTCGAACCCACGACCTTCGGCTAGATACGCCGCTGCTCTTCCACCTGAGCTATCGTGACCTCGATCCACTCGGACGTCAACTCCCCATCTCAACCCCACATTATGAGTTTTCCCTCCTTTTGCCATTTTTAATCTCAACTAAAAACCTTAATTAATTGTCATTATTTATTATCTTATTTTTCGTTTACAAACCAGAAACTATATAATTTTTTTCAATTATGATGTACTAAATTGTGTACCAGCTATGTTATGCTCAATCCTAAATAAACGACAATCATACTGATTTTATTTTGTGTATAAAGTGGATTAGAAAGATAAATAGATATAAAGATTGACTCAAAGCTCTTTCCTTTTGAAGAAAAAAGTGCACAAATAATTTGATAGATTTGCATCATTTTCCATTATTTGGAATGTGTGTTTTTTAGTGACTGTTAATTGATAATTTGGAGATCGTGAGATGCGGTCTGGTGTGACGTAGGTTTAAAAAAACTTTCTTTATCGTGCCAACGTTTCGATATTGAGATCATCTTCAGGGCTCAAAGTGTTTGTTTTCTGTGTAGATGTGTCATTTTTGTGTGTCGTGTTGAGAGTGCCAGTGAGATATTGACCAACATGGCAAACAATAATGACACATCTACAAAGAAAAAAACACATTGAGCCCTGTAGATGATCTGAATAAAGATCGACACGTTAGCATGATAAAGAAAATGTTTTTCTAAACCTACGTCTCACCTGACCGACGACCAAATAATTATTTGGAATTGTCATCTGATTTTGTTGTATCAGTTTAGCGTTATGAAGTCAATTGCAAAAAAATCAATTACCTTTTATCTTAAACTTCATACGTTCATATAATTAAAAGTAACCTTAACAGTTACTTTTATTAACATACATAATTCATTCAATTTCAAAAGGCACTTTTGGGCCAAAGCCCACGTATGCATACATTTAAGAATGAGTGAAAATGCCTTTGGACTGGGAACTGCAAGCGGGCTGAATTGTCCTACCTGTTGACAGCACCCGGAGCCCAACTCTGTGGCTGCAAGGATAAGACCGAGGTCTAACCCCGGGCAACAAACCCTGGGGTGGGTGATTTTCGAGGCTTCTCCTTAATTTATTGTAAATTACAAATCCTGGAATCGCCGAAGGACTGAAAAAAGTTATACGCTCAACTCTTAAATGTGTATATGTATTTACATACATGTCCAGATTTGAGCTTATATATATCCAAATCAGACAGTTTTCCATCAACAAATATTTCGTAAATAACGTTTCAATCATATTATTTTCAATCATAAATTTAACGATAATCAAATAATCTAGTCAATAAATTTGTATAATGGCGACATATCTATGGAATATCATATTTTAGTTCAATTTGTCATCCAATTGACATAAAATTTCCAGTTTGTAATATGTTAACATTTATGGAAAGAAACCGAATTATTTTTGAGGTATTTAAATGTTCATGTTTATCTAAATTAATAATAATATAGTGGGAATCGATTAATTCAAAAAAGCGTTTGAAAAATTTAAAATACCCACTCTAAAAAAGATTCCAGTTTTACTCAATACGTTAAAAAAAACCTTTCGAATTGCCGGCATTCCAGTACCATTTGAATTTAGGACTCAAAAGAGAGGAACATAAATCGGGTGTCGTGTTTGCGATTCCTTTCTTCAAAGGTGAAGCCCCGTATGAAGTATTTAAGGATCGTGCGATTCTGTCCAGTTAAAGCCCCTCCTAAAAACACCTTTATCCTTGTAATATGTTATATAAAGCATGTTGTGCAGCGAAAACATTCCACCAGATTGACCCAGTTTTTAATTTCACTATAATAAGTCAAATCCTGTATATTTTATAAATAAAAAACATTCATATATAGTATTCATAATTGTTTCCAGTTTATTTCTTTAAAAATAAGTAATACTGAATCGTATGCATTCTGATAATACAATTACACATCACCGTCAGTTAGAAAGCGAGGGCAACGTAAAAACAAAAGAGGATAGACGGACTCAAACCCAGGAAAGCGATCAGTAATTATTATTTCAACATTAAATTCTATACAGACAAACGAGTCAACATCAATCTTAAAAATTATATTAAGAAATTCAAGAAATAAAAGCTTAAATGTTCGAAAATAACTAAATGTGTAACCTGAAGCGACAGATTCGTCATAACAATGTCACATTTTTTTAATACCTAGTATTCTTTAACATTTAACCCTTCCACTCATTCACTTATAATAAAATGTCCTACGTCAATTTTTCAAGTTTCATCCAAACATATTATGACTTACACGCTAATAAATACATTAGTTCAAAATAAGAGTATTATTTCAACCTACGTATGAAATGCGACCACATACGTACATCTGCTTCACATGTTGAATCAACTTGTTATTAAAATCACTATAGTATTTTGAAAAAAAATTAATGTCTGAGGGTAGGCCATACCTTAATCACCTTTTACTATGCGGAGCTAATTTTTTTTCACTTCGTCAATATTTGTTTTACTTTGGCGCTATATAAAGAGCATCTCCGTGGTCTTAACTTGGCGAGTAGATGCTCACATGTGCTAACAAATTCAAAAAAAGTTGACGAATAAATTTTGTAAGTTTTGCTTTGTTATTTAAAACGATCGTATTAATATTTTAAATAACTATAATTTAAACTGTAAGCACTGGCAAGTATTATTTACAATTTAGTTAACAAATTTTAATGAATAAGTAGAGAAAAATAAATATATTGTGCAAGTTTGAAAATGCATAAAATGTTGGAAAATTCTTTTTTATAAATTCAAAATTTAAAAAAAAACCAGTTAAATACCTTTTCTTTTTCAAATATTTTTATTTCATTCCAAAACAGATTGAACGTAAGATTAAATGTTCAGGAAATGGCTTAACAGTACGAACGTGACAAAAAATCAGGTTGAATTTGTATTCCGTCCATACAGGCTCTGAATTTCTCCGGGTGAAAAGATATTCGCTCAAATTTTTATGCTCTACGGCTCTGGAAAAAAAATATTGTTTTCTTTCGATATGAGACCGTTATCTTATTTTCATGAATATAGAATCAATTCTACAATATTTCCACTATGTTGAAACGTTTTATATCTGAAATAATTATTTATCCTTGTATGCCCGATAGCTATTTATACAACGAGGGAATCAATTGTACAATGAAGTGTATTTTTAGACTATAAATGGTACCTTAAAGCCCCTGTACCATGACTAGCCTTGATTGAACAGCCCTTTATCGCCGATTCGCTCAAGCGCTTAATTAATTCGTATTCAAATTCCAAGAATATTTGCAAACTGCAAAACTCCCTTAAAAGGAGTTCGTCAACTGATGAACAGCACTAAGATCTTAATTGTTGATTTAATTTGGTTACCAAAACTGTGAGCTTTTTTTAATTTGTTTTCAGAAATTTTCCATATTTGTTTAATTAACCGTTTTCCGATTACAATTATGTACAATAAATTATAAATATATATAAAGAAATTAAAATTATTTGAAACAATTTGATATTTGCATTAAAACTATCTAATTAATATTAATAATTCAACACTTAAAATGGTAAAAATTACTTAAGTTTATTTAAACTGACATTAGCTATATCTATGTTTTCGAAAGATTTTAACATAGTTGTTGTTCTTGGTATCAAACTGAATTTGGCATAATTACTTCTATGGCAATCAATGGAGAATCATATGACTTCTGGAATAATAATAAATTGGAACATGCAATTCGGTTAAGCAGTGATGGGCAAACAGTTAAGGAATGTAATCATTTTTAATAATATGCAGACTTTCCGTCTATAAAGAACAGTCGTCAATTTCAGATCCAACATAATTATGAGTAAGTTCGGAGGCACCTCGAAATCAAACCTGTAGCTATAGACAGAATACAAAAAAGCACTGCGAGTATGCCTGTCATAAAATCAACACGCATTAAAAAAATGCCTATGTATATTCGCAGCAAATTAATAATATTAAATTTTAAAACAATACACGAGGAACGATCACATATTGATTAAAACGCTGGACGTAACTCCAGAGATGGCTACTGAAGTCGACCCTGAAGAGCTTCAACCTACCTATATACACAGTGTCCTTGGAATCAGCCTTCAAGAAAATCTGTACAACAATAACCAACAACTTGGAAAAACAGGTCCTGCAATACCAACCCTACACTGATGGATCAAAATCAAGTAAGGGAACAGGTGTGTGT